CTACAAAGGTGGGGTCGTCACATCTAACTTTTATCTAATGAGTTAAGAGATCGTCAAATCAGCCTTCCAATAATCGTCATCATAACGTCATGTCAGGCTTTACTAATAGTTTCTAGGATACGTAATCATGTGGCACTGGTAAGGCATGAAGTTCCAGGTCACCAACGTGATGTAGTTAATGCTCTGGGCAAGATTTATAAATGAGGTCTCTACAAAATGAAATCCCTCAGTTATTATTGGGTCATCAGAAAAGTCATGACCTATTTTTCTATGCAAAATTGCATCATGGCATTTTCAACAAGCAAAACAACCATAAACTGTCTCATCACCCAGCAAAATGTCTTCGTTTTAGCCCTGACAACTACACAGTTGATGACGTTTTCTAGAGAGCCTCCCTATGAGTTCTCAGGTTCTAGTTCATTCACGACAGGTGGTCTCAGACCAACGCACAGATGAGCTTCCCTGTCTAGGGTTGCCACCCCCTGCATGTCCCACTAGCATGTTTATAAGGAGATTCGACCCGGTCATCGCTCTTTCCTGGGGCCAGAAAAGTGAGGAAATGGATGACAGGCCTGATGCTGATGTCTTCAGAATTTGTATCTGTAACCCAGACCTTTCCCCTAAATTCCAAACGCGTGCATTTCATCAGCTACTCAACATTTTGATGTAGCTGTATAATAGGTTATCAAACTGAACATGGGCACAGAGAAATGCGGATAGTCGGTATATATTAAGTGGATACATACAATATCTTTCTTTCATAGCCTGGCTGACTTCACTCAGCGCGCACACACACACACACACACATACACACACACACACACAGACTCTCTTTCCCCCTTACTTTTTTTTCTTCTGTACCTGCGCCCCCATCTGCATTCTCAAGGAAGTACATATACTCATCTTTGCTCCTTTTCTCTCTCACACCAGGCATCCAATCTGCCTGAAAACCCTGTCCTTCTATCTTTGAAATATGTCCAGAATTCAGCCACTGACCCATTGTCCCTGCTTCCTCCCTGGCCCCAGGCACCACCACCCTTCTGAGGACTGTTGGAACAGCTCCTCCCTGCTTCTCTGCTTCCCACTTCCTCCCCATTCCCCTGCCTTCCAGAGTCGATGCTGAACAGAGCATCCCAATGACGTCTCTCAGATGATTTCCACAGTGATTCCAGGTCTCAGAATACCAGCCAGGAGATTTTTAAGGGAATGAAGATTTTCTACTAATAATTCAGCCTCCAACAAACGAGCTAGCGGCAGAAGACAAGGTTCCACATGGCTACAGTGAACTAGATTTTTAAGGGAATGAAGATTTTCTACTAATAATTCAGCCTCCAACAAACGAGCTAGCGGTAGGGAGCCCCCCTCTGCACCCCCAGCCTTCTCTCTCTGTCTCTCAGTTCCTGTCTCTCCCTGCTTCTGTCTTCCCTTTTTTTAATTTTTTTTTTTTGGTAATATTTCCTTTTTACCCTTTTTTTTCTTTAAAAAAAAAAACAAGGCCCAGTTTTTCTCTGGCTCTTAGCTCCGCCTTCTTTCTTGTTAATTTTCGCTCTGCTCCTCCCATCCAGGCAGAAGACAAGGTTCCACATGGCTACAGTGAACTAGATTTTT